AATCAATAAACACATAAATACGTGATACTGTATGTCAAGTGATGATAAGTGTCATGGGGAAAAATATAGATGGGAACAAGGAGAAAGTTCTGGGAGAGGTGATATAATTTAAAACAGGAAGGTCAGGAGTACCCCCATATGACTATTTGCTTTTATTAATGATTTTAAAGTACTTAGTAGTATATATCATTATAAATATTTTACATATTTTAATGAATTTAATCATTAAACAATTGTATGAAGTGCAACTATGTTTTAGACCCAACTTAATTTGAGAAATCTGAATTACAAGAAAAGTTAAGTAGTTTGCCCAATGGTCTCAGAGAAGCAGGATCAAGTTTTGAACTATGCATTAACTTCTACATGACACTATTTCTTTAATCAACTTCACCCTATAGATCTTTCACATGAAATTAAATATATGATATAAAAATTGGAGTGAAACTAACAAAAATGTTGTAACATACAGATGATAGGATATGAAATCTGTATACAAATTTTTAGACTTAACAGGGAATTAAACAAGGCTGCTGGTTGTGGTGCTGTTGGTTAATGCGCCAGACTGCAAAGCCATTTGAACTGCAAGGTTGGCAGTTCAAGCTCACCAGCTGCTCTTTTGAAACCCTCTACAGGGTCGCTATAAGTCAGAATTGACTCAAGGGCACTTAACAACAACAACAGCTGGTTATACAATAAATATATAAGGAGGCTTCAAAACATCATTTTAAAAAAATCATTAAAAGAATTCTTTCTTTTTTTTCAATTATCTTGCAATTCCGCCTTCCACAAATGGTTTTGAAGGATCCTGTGCCTGATCAACAAAATGGCATTGCAGCTACCCCCAAGTAGCAAAGAATAAAGTCCTGCTTAAGCTTCTGGTCTCCAGAAAGCTTCAGTCTTTATCAATCCTAGAGACCCTTCCCCTGGTAATTTCAGGTTTAAGGAAAATCCCCATAACCCCGCCCATTGAAAACTCACCAGAACTGTGCCCAAGACTTCTTGTTGTTGTTAAGTGTTGTCAAGTCCATTCTAACCCATAGCGACCCTGAATAGGGTTTCCAAGGAGCAGCTGGTGAGCTTGAACCACTGACCTTGAAGTTCAAACGACTTTGCAGTCTGATGCATTAGTCCACAGCGACACACCAGGCTTCTTGTTGTTGTTTTTATGTGCCTTGGAATCGGTTCCAACTCATAGTGACCCTGTACAGGGTTTCCGAGGCTGTAAATCTTTACCGGAGCAGAACGCCTCATCTTTCTCTCATGGAACAGCTAGTAGTTTCGAACTGCTGACCTTGCGGTTCGCAGCCCGATTCATAACCACTATGCTACCAGAGCTCCTTTAGGATAAGACTACACTGCCTTAAATACCCCACTCTGTAAAAAATAGGTGGGTTCTTGGTCTCTTGCCCCTAGGTTTACTCTTAATAAACCTGCCTACTGTTGAAGCCATGTTTGTCTCCTCCTGTCTTTCCTATTTCTTAATTTTGAAGCCCTCTTGTACAGAAATGGATTCCATTTCTGTACTCACTGAGCGAAAAGAGTGTAATTATTTTAAAAAACATTATTTACAATAACAGTTGTTGTTGTTAGATGCCATCGAGTTGGTACCGACTCATGGCCACCTTATGCACAGCAAAAGGAAACACTGCACGATCCTGGGCTAACCTCACTATTGTTGCTATGCTTGAGTCAATTGATGCTGCTACTTGGCCAATCCATCTCATTGGGGGTTTTCCTCTTCTTCTCTGACTCTCCACCTTACCAAACATGAGCTCCTTCTCCAGCGACTGGTCCCTCCTGACAATATGTCCGAAATATGAGAGACGAAGTTTGGCCATCTTGGCCTCCAAGGAGCACTTTGGCTGCACTTCTTCCAACACAGATCTGTTTGTTCTTTTGGCAGCCTATGGCACTTTAAATACTCTCCTCCAACACCATAACTCAAAAGCATCAATTCTTCTATGGCCTTCCTCTCACAGACAGTGTTGTACCTCATGACTGATCGAGATATGTTCTTTTTGACGATGAATGCAATACCATTCCTCTTCAATTTGTCATTCCTGGCATAGTAAACCATGTGGTTGTCAGATTCAAAATGGCCAATACCAGTCCATTTCAGCTCACTAATGCCTAAGAGATCGATGTTTATGCGTTCCATTTCATTTTGACAACTTCCAATTTTCCCAGATTCATACTGCATTCATTCCATGTTCCGATTTTAAATGGATGTTTACAGTTGTTTCTCATTTTGAGTTGTGCCCCATCAGCAAATGAAGGTCCCGCAGGCTTTTCTCCCATGGGCTTTACTCCTTTCGCGTCATCACGGTCAACTCTGCTTTGACGAGGCAACTCTTCCCCAGTCACATTCTGAGTGCCTTCCAAACTGAGGGGCTCATTTTCTGGCACTGTATCTGACAGTGTTTCTCTGCTATTCATAAGGTTTTCAGTGACTAAATATTCAGAAGTAGTTCATCACTCTTCCTAAACTATCTTTGTCTGGAAGCTCATCTAAAACCTGTCCACCATGAGTGACTCTGCTGGTATTTAAAATACCCATGGCATAGCTTTCAGAATCATAGCAACTCACAAGCCACCACAGTATGATAAACTGACAGACAAGTGGTGGACTCATTGCCTTAAAATGCTTGATAATATCTAGGTTTTCATCACTTTGTCCAGTGTATGCTCCATCACATTTGTAGTTGTGTTTTCAGGAAAGGTGAATATCCTCTTTCAAGCTCATATATTTGAGGGTATTGTCCCACTCTTCCACTCATACCTATGCAATCCACGTCCTTGTCCATGTATTTACATGCAGAACTCTGTTGTTCTCAGGTTGTGTATTAACACTGTTTACCTCTATTCCCTTTAAGCCTTGCATACCTCCCTGTGTCTTCACCTATCTTCATCATTCTGCCAGCCTCCCTCTTCTTGTATATTGCACTTCTTGCCTATCCTCTAGCCAGTGAATTACTTTCCCTTCCTGATAACCATCAAAGAATATTTCATTTAGTATGAAAATCTTTTTTTGAGTTTTTTACAAAGTGGTCTCATGCAATATTTGTCCTTTTGTGATTGACTGATTTTACTCAGCATAATGTCCTCTAGTTCATTTATGTTATATAGTGTTTTTCAGATTCATCATTATTTTTCACCTCTGCATAGTAGTCCATTGTATGTATGTACCAAAGTTTATCTATTCTTCCATTTATGGAAATTTAGACTGTCTTCATCTTTTTGCTAGTGTGCATAGTGCTGCAATGAACATCAGTTTGCATATATCTACTCGTGTCCTGGCTCTTAGTTCTTGTGGATATATACCAAGTAGAGGGGTTACTGAGTCATAAGGTATTTCTGTTTCTAACTTTCTGAGGAAGCATCATACCATTTTCCAGAGTGGCTATACTTTGTATATTTTTTTGAGCTTTGCTATTAATGCTGGTGAGAGATGAGATCTCATTGTTGTTTTGATTGGTGTGACACTGTAGGCTAATGTGCCAGACTGCAAAGTTGTTTGAACTGCAAAGTCCGTGGTTCAAGCGCACCAGCTGCTCCTTGGAAACCCTATACAGGGTCGCTATTGGTCAGAATTTACTCAACGACGTTTAACAATAACAGTTGCGAATGATTGTGAACATTTCTTTGTATATTTTGTTGGATGTTGTGTCTGTACTTATTCCAACACAAATTGGTTTGTCCTTCTCAAAGTCAATGGTACTTTCATTAGTCAGTGAACGAATGGACCACGGAACTTAAGACTCCACGACCCAGAGACCGGAAAATCTAAATGGTGCTACCACTACCAACTGCTCTGAAAGGGATCACATTAGAAGGTCCTGGGAAGAGTGTGAGAAAATGTGCAACAAAACTCAAAATCATAAAAAGACCAGGTTTACTGTTCAAATTGAGGTGGGTGGAACCTGGAGAATATAACCTCTTCCTTCAGGTCTGGAAATTAATTCACCCCAGTGGCTCAATTTTCAGCCTAGCAATAGATAGGCATATTATTGTTAAGTGCCTTCAAGTCGATTCTATCAAGTGACCCTATATAGGGATTACTTGACCTTGTATAGGATCCCAAGTCTGTATTTTTACAGGAGCAGAAAGCCTCGTTTTTCTCCTACGGACTGCGGTTAGCAGTCCCTCGTAATCCACTAAGCTATGAGGGCTCCTTTGTTGTTGTTGTTAAGTGCCATCAAGTTGCTTCCGACTCATAGTGACCCTGTATAGGGTTTCCGAGGAGCTGCTGTTGGGTTTGAACTGCTGACCTTGTGGTTTGCAGTCCAGTGCTGAGCCTATGGCGCCACACCAGCAGTCGACCAGAGCTCCTTTTGTTGTTGTTGTTAAGTGCCGTCGAGTCGGTTCCGACCCATAGCAACCCTGTACAGGGTTTCCGAGGGTGTAAATCTTTACGGGAGTAGAAAGCCTCATCTTTCTCCCGCGGAGCGGCTGGTAGTTTCAAACCGCTGACCTTACGGTTCGCAGCCCGATTCGTAACCACTACGCTACCAGAGCTCCTTTAGACAGGTATATTTGTGTTGTTGTTAAGTGCTGTTGAGTCAGTTCCGACTCATGGTGACACTGTATAGGGTTTCCAAGGAGCGGCTGGTGAGTTTGAACAGCCGACCTTGCAGTCCAATACTTTATCCCACAGCACACATCAGGACGCCAGAAAACCCTATACAGGGTCGTTATGAGTCGGAGCCGATTCGAGGGCACTTAACAACAACAACAAAGTACACAGGAGCATGGGCTTGCAGAGGGGAAGCAACTAAAAGCCCTAAGCTACAGAACTGTCTCACCAAGATTCGCCAGCAGGCACCGCTACGCGCTACCGGAAGAACACTGCGCACGCGTAAGAGAAGGCCGCAGCCAGAGGAGCTTGAGGGCGAAGGCTCTGTTTACAGGGCCAGCTTCATCTTTAGCCTTCCATCTGAAGATCGCATCTCCCAGTCACCTCCGGACCCATTTCCCCGCCCCCTTAGCGCCTGCTGGTCTCTACTGCACGCGCAGAGCCTGAGCTGGCGCCGGCGGGAAAGGGAAGCGGTGGGTAAGAAGGGCCTGCGTGTTGGGCGCGTCTATGACGGGGTTGGGAACTTGCTTTTTGACTCTTTCAGGCTTTCAAGAGCTCTAACGAGAGAAGTGAGGGGTACCTCTGGATCCTGTTTCCTCCCCGCCTTTTTTCCTTCCACGTCAGGCCTTCTTCCACTGACAGCGGAATATTTTTTCGCCTTCACTGGAGCTTCTCCTGGTGAAGATCTGCTTCTCTTCTCCCCCGCCCCCGCCCCCCCCACACACAGACTGGGGAATCTGGAATCCGAGCCACGAGCCTGTGTCGTCCACTCATTGTCAGAGTTTCCAGCCCCGCCATATCGGTAGCGCAGGGATGTCGCAGCAGTTTAGGGCTTGCGCTTCAGCTCTAGTCTCCAGCTCAAGTGCAAAGAGCCTTCTTTGTTCTTTTGACATGCATCTGGGATTCTTTCAGACATCTTCCAGACGCTGTGGGTTCTGTGTTCACAGCCACCAAACAGGTCCTTTTTTTTCTACTTTGGGCATCTCCACCATTTCCTAATAATCTGCCTTGAACTTTGGGTCCCTTGAGGCAGACCCCTTACATCTAGAACCCCAGAGTTGTTTTCTTTCCCTTTGGAAATGTGAGTCTGGTAAAACGATGGACTCCAGTGGGGAATATAGTATCAGCAGCTACTAAGGGGATCTTGTTGTTGTTGTGAAGTGCCGTCGAGTCGGTTCCGACACATAGCGACCCTGTATAGGGCTTCCAAGGACCAGCTGGTGAGCTTGAACTGCCAACCATGCAGTTCAAACGGCTTTGCAGTCTGGCGCATTAACTCACAGCGCCACACCAGGTTTCCAGGAGGATCTTAGCATACTAGATTTCTCCTGATTGTGTCTGCTACTAGTGTGAATATTCAGTAAACACTTTGATGATGGTGTGCTGTGGAGTCTATTCCGACCCACAGTGACCCTGTATAGGGTTTCCGAGGCAGTAAATCTTTACAGGAGCAGAAAGCCTCATCTTTCACCAGTGAAACAGCTGTAATTTCAAACTGCTGATCTTGAGGTTCGCAGACAGACTAGCAACCATAATGCTACCAGAGCTCTTTGTTGTTGTTGTTGTTGTTAAGTGCCATCGAGTCGGTTCCCAGAGCTCTTTAAACGCTTGCAATTGGAGGCACTAATTTATCTTAGTCCAGTGGCTGTGCTTGATGCCTTGAAATTGGAAACAGATGTTATTGTTAAGTGCTGTCAAGTTCGTTCCGACTTAGCGACACTGTATACAGTTTCTGTGAAGTAACAGATGGATTTAACACCCCCACCCCCACCCCCACTCCCACACACTGACCTTGCAGTTAGCAGTCCAGTGCTTATCCTACAGCGCCATACCAGGACTTATGTAAACAGTCATCACTGGGGTCCAAAATCTGCTGATATGGAGAAATCTAAAGTAGAAAAAAGCCTGGCAGCCAATGTCCTGTTTAATACCTGCAGGTCAAATGTCTATGTAGAAACAAATAAATTTTACTTTAATGTGCTAGTTAAATATGATCTGTTGACATACTGCAGATACTGATGTGAAGTTTTAACAGCTATCTAGAATCAGATTTCTCAGGTTAATTCCTAGATAGTCATGATAATCAGCTTAGTTCTTTCAACTTTGATAAATTTGACTTGGGATTTCTAATATCAACATTTCTGTCAGTCTTATTATCTGTTGTCCTTACTCTAAACTATAAAACCTTAGTTATCTGAGATCTCCCAGCCCCCATGCTTCATCCTCATATCTTATCTGTTAACAAATATCATGGCTTCTTTATTCAAAGGATAACTTGTATTTGGACTTTTCATTCTCACTGTTGAAGTTTAAGACTATTTTTTAGGACTTCAAACACTTGTGAACTTGTAATGTTCTACATTTCTGTGCTTGGATTTCAAAGCCCTTTTTCTATACCCTTGCTTAAGAATTCTTATGCAGTGTGATATGGGGGGGGGGGCAGGGAATCTTTGATTTAAAGTAAAATGACCTGGATTCAAATAATGAGACTGCTGTTACAATAACATTGTAACTCTGGGGAAACTTCAGTTCTTTTTCTCTCACTTATGCCATCTTCTCTTCATAACTCTTAATTATTATGAGAATTACATAATATATGGAAAAACTAACAGAGCTTTAAAAAAATTGGTGAGGCGCTGTGGGTTAATGCGCTAGACTGCAAAGCCGTTTGAACTACAAGGTCGGTAGTTCAAGCTCATCAGTCACTCCTTGGAAACCCTATACAGGGTCGCTATGGGTGGGAATTGACTCGACAACACTTAACAACAACAACAACAAGCTATTACTGTAATTTACTCATTTTACAAGTTTTTAAAGACCTAATGTTTGGTAGGTACTGGAGCTACAGGTAGGAAAAATAGTCCCTGCCCTTAAGACACTATCTTTCAAGGAGTTTAGAGTATGTGTGTGTGTTAGTGCAGTGGGTGGGGTTATAGAGTGTCTGAGTGGTTACGAGTTGGGCTGCTAACTTCAAGGTCAGCATTTTGAAACTACCAGTGGTTCCATGGAAGAAAGATGAGACTTTCTGCTCCCATAGAGATTTACAGCCTTGGAAACCCCATACAGGGTCTCTATGAGTAGGAACCGACTCTACGGCATACTACCACCACCACCAGACCAGGTAGTGTGATGTGTGGATTGTACTATAGATAAAGTTAGGATGAGCACCAAACTCAGAATGACAAGAAAGGATTCCTAAAGGAAGTTATATTTGAACAGTCTTAAATTACATTGAAGATCCAGATGGAAAAGGTGAGGAAGGGTGGGATAAAAGAAGAACTTTTAGAGAACTGCAAATGTTTAGGTTTTGCTGGAGTCTTAAGTTCAAAGTGTTGAGATGGAACTAGATAGGTAGCTAGGGGTGAAATTCGAAGGGTTTTGTTGCTAATGGAAATCACTGAAAGATTTTAAGCAGACAGACAACAAGAAACCCTGATGGCCCTGTAGGATAAGCACTGGACTGCTAACCACAAGGTTGGCAGTTCAAGCCCACCAGCTGATCCATGGGAGGGTGATGAGGCTTTCTGCTTCTGTAAAGATTTACAGCTTAAAAAACCTTATACAGGGTCACTGAATTGACTTGATGGCAGGGCATTTGGTTTTAGTTTTAGACTGATCACAATTTTTTTTGCAAACATGTTTGTTTTTTTTAAACCCTCATCACTGTTAATTTCTAAAACTTTTTCATTGTCCCAAACTGAAACTGTATCCATTAAGCCATAATTCCCTCCCCACAAACCCCTGGTAATTAATCTATTCTATTTCTGTGTATTGCCTATTCTGGGTATTGCATTTCTTATAAATGGAATCATTTTTATATGAATTGTCCTTTTGTGACTGGATTATTTCATGTAATGTAAAGTTTATTCTGTCCATGATGTATACTTCTTTATTACAACTTACAAAACCTTTTTTCTATCTATATATCTTTTCGTATATTCTTTACTGTACCCAAAAGGGCGTATGTCCTCTCCTTGTACTGTAATACTGTTGCTCTTTCAGTACCCAGTCAGGTCCCATTTATTCTGTGAGGGTTTCCCCCAGTTATTTAGCCCTCACTATTCTCTTCTCTTGGTGTCCCCTGGTGTGATGCTGTGGGTTAATGTGCCAGACTGCAAAGCGGTTTGAACTGCAAAGTCAGCGGTTCAAGTTCACCAACTGCTCCTTGGAAACCCTATGTAGGGTAACTGTGGGTCAGAATCAACTGAAGGCACTTAACAACAAAAACATTCTCTTCTCTTAAGGAGCTCTGGTAGGGTAGTGATTACGAGTCGAGCTGCTAACCTCAAGGTCAGCAGTTTGAAACTACCAGCCGGTCCATGGGAGAAAGATGAGGTTTTCTGCTCCCGTAAAGATTTACAGCCTTGGAAGCCCTATACAGGGTCACTATGAGTCGGAACCGACTCCACAGCACACCACCACCATTCTCTTCTCTTGGAGTCCTGGTGTGGCACTCTGGATTAATGCGCTAGACGGCAAAATCAGTTTGAACCTAAAACTTGGTGGTTCAAGCTCACTAGTCGCACCTTAGAAACCCTATACAGGGTGGCTACAGATCGGAACTGACTCGAAGGTACATAACAACAGCAATTCCCTTCTCTAAAACCATATTAGAACTAGCATCCTACAGTTTAGTCCTTATTTTGAAACATGTTAGGTGTTTATATAGAGTCCTGTTGTGGCGCTTTGGGCTAATGCATCAGACTGCAAAGTCATTTGAAGTTTAAGGTTGGTGGTTCAAGCTCACCAGCTGCTCCTTGGAAACCCTATACATGGTCGCTATGGGTCAGAATTGACTCGACGGCACCTAACAACAACAATTAGAGTGTTTAATGTCTCTAAGTAGATAGTAAACTCCTTTGATAATAGGAAATGTTTCAAAAGTGTATGAATGGAAGACATATTAATACAAAACTATGTTGCTTGATCTCTTTGTATTTTCTTTTTCAGGGTGTGGCAGATTATGGGCAACAGTTCTTTTAATTAATATATCATCATCATGGCTAATGAGGACTGTTCCAAGGCTGGTGATAGTCCTTTTACATCCGATAAACATGCCCAATTCATCATGGCCCAGATAAATAAAATGAGGAATGGACAGCATTTCTGTGATGTACAGCTACAAGTTGGGAAGGAAACTTTTAAAGTTCATCGGCTGGTTTTGGCTGCTAGTAGTCCCTACTTTGCAGCTTTGTTTACTGGCGGAATGAAAGAGTCCTCAAAAGATGTTGTACAGATTCTAGGAATTGAAGCTAGAATCTTTCGTGTACTTTTAGATTTCATTTACACAGGTATGTTAAGTGAGCCTGTTGCTTTGAGTTAAGAATGATGCAGTCACTCCTGCACTGCTGTGTTAATATAAATTGATCTAATTCATAGGGAAGGGGGCAGTGGTGGTTCAGTGGTAGAATTCTCACCTTCCATGTGGGAGACCCAATTTGTTTCCTAGCCAGTGTACCTCATGCACAACCACCACCTGTCCCTCAGTGGAAGCTTGAATGTGACTATGATGCTGAACAGGTCTCAGTGAAACTTCCAGACTAAGACAGACTAGGAAGAAAGGCCTGGTGATCTGCTTCCAAAAATCAGCCATTGAAAACCCTATGGATCACAACAGTCGATCTACAACCAATCATGGGGATGGCAAAGGACTGGGCAGCATTTCTTTCTTCTGTTCATTGGTCACCATGAGTTGAATCCATGGTAACTAACAGTAACAATAGCAACAATTTATATGTAATTTGGATAAGCCTTTGAAAAGTTATCTTTCAACCCAGTGTTCTTTATTAGGAATCTTAAACAATTAATTAGAGATGTGAGTAAAATGTATCACAATGCTTATTGTAACATTATTTATAATAGTATGTAATATATGTGTGTATGATATATATTTGAATACAATAATTGTTTCCATAGTAGATCATGGTAAAAATATATTTAATGAGATATTATTTAGATCTTATAAATGGTTTAAAGTATATATAGTATCGCATGAAAAATGTTTATAATGTTGTTAATGCTGTCAAGTCGGATCTGACTCATAGTGACCCTGTGTAGGGTTTTAAAGGAGTGGCTGATGGGTTTGAAACACCAACCTCACGATTAGCAGTCTAGTGCTTATATATTTCTGAAGAGTTTTAATGGCATTAGATAGTGTACATAAGAACTGTATGTAAATTATAAGTTTTATATATACAATATGGACCTCCTGATGTGGCTCTGGACTGCAAACCACAGGGTTCAAAGCTGCCAGCTGCTCCTTGGAAACCCTGTACAGGTTTGCTCTGAGTTGGAAACATCTAGATGGCATTTAACAACAACAACATATACTATATGGAGTCCTGATGTGGCACTGTAGGCTAAGCACTGGAATGCTAACTGCAAGATCAGCAGTTCAAACCCACTAGCTGTTCCTTTAAGGAGCTCTGGTAGGATAGTGGTTATGAGTTGGGCTGCTAACTTCAGGGTCAGCAGTTCGAAACTAGCAGGAGAAAGATGAGGCTTTGTGCTCCCGTAAAGATTTACAGCCTCAGAACATCCTATGCAGGGTTGCTATAAGTCAGAACCGACTCCACAGCACATAACTACCACCACCAACCACAGCCATTCCTTGGAAATCTTATACAGGGTCCCTAATGCATCAGAACCAACTGGACTGTATTTAACAACAGCAACAACATATATAGTATAGATATGTATAGAAAGAAAAGATTTGAAATAAATACACTAATGTGTAAATACTATGTATAACTATGTATGGAAATATGTGTGATTTCATTTTTATATTTTTCTGCATTAGATTTTTTTTCTACAATGAATATAGTCCTGGTGTGGCACTGTAGAATAAACAATGGACTGCAAACTTCCAGATCAGCTGTTTAAACCCACCAGCTGCTCCTCAGAAACCCTATACAGGATCACTATGAGTCAGAAACGACTTGACAGCACTTAACAACAACATAGAAAAAATATTGTAAAACAAAGACTACCTGGTCTAGTTTTGAGAATATACTCTGCTCTCTTTTTGGGAGATCATTATATGGACTTATAAAATATTGTTTTTTTAAGTGGTAGTGGTGGTGGTTATATGCTGTGGAGCTGGTTCTGATTCGTAACAACAGTGTGTAGGGTTTCCAAGGCTGTAAATCTTTGTGGAAGCAGAAAGTCTTATCTTTCGCTCAGTGAGGGGCTGGTAGATATGAGCTGCTGATCTTTTGGTTAGCAGCCCGACTTGTAACTCACTATGCTACCAGAGCTCTTTGTATTTTAAGTAAGTGATATTTAAACTTGGAAAATAATGAAAGGTGATTTCTTTTCCTTTTTGGAAAATTTCAGAAAATTGATCATTCTTAATTTGAGGCTTATTAAAAGAATTGTCTTTTACTTACCAAAAGCAATGCAGCTCTTTATATTGGCTTATGTATAAACTAATACTGAGGAGTTCTTGACCTGATTTTTCACCATGATTTGTTGAGCTGATTAAACTGCTTTATAACTGTCCCTGATTCTCTTATTTGCAAATATAAATTAATACAGATGAATTCATGAAGTGTGGAACTACATTAAAATAGAAAAAATACCTCAACTTTTCTATTCTGCCTCTGTTGTCTGATAGTAACAATAGATATTTAATGAAAGAGAATGTTCATGACATCACCACCACATTATGGATAATGAGAACTTCCATCAAAGAAATACAAGGCGGTAAAATCTAGAGAAATAAAAGCTACTGAGCATATCTTGAAGAAAAGAGCATGGAAGAGAATAAACATTTAAGGTTAAACTTGGTGTAACATACCAGCCAGCATTTGGCTAGCATTTATTTTTCCACAAAAATGAACCTACAATAGGCATTCCAGGGCTTATATGGTGGCTTCACATGTCATTAATCAGTTCCCATCAAGTTGATAACTCTTGTTAACCCCTCATGTGTCAGAATAGAACTGTGCACCATAGGGTTTTCAATGACTGATTTATCGGAAATAGATTGCCAGTTTGCTTTTGAGGTGATTCTGGGTGAGCTAAAACCTTTGCCTTTTAATATTAATTATTTACACCATTTAGTGTCCCAATGTTCTTCCAACATTTACTCTCTGATCTGTAACTTATAGCTCTGTATTTAAGATTACCGAGTTCTAGCCAGTGGAATGAGAAAAGGGAAAAGGGCCAGCCAGCTGAGTCTATCCTTTTTTTTTTTTAAAGTTTTTCTGATAGCTTCACTCAACAACTACTGTAATATCACTGTTGCCCAAACTTAGTCTAAAGTTCACTTCTATCTTCCAGAAAGGCTGAGAAATGTAGTCTTTAGCAGAGCACAATTGCCACTCAACAAAATCAAGGTTCTGTTTGAAAGGAGAAAGAATACTGGGTATTCATTGATCAGGGAACTTTGCCATCTTTAACACAATTAGTTCTTTAAAACTATGTTGTTTGATTTTCATTGTAAATAGCATTTACTTTATGTAGGGGTGGGAGGAAGTAAAACCTGTTATTCTATTTATCTCTCTTTGGAGTCTTAGTGTGGTGTTGTGGGTTAATGTGTTGGACTACAAAGTTGTTTTGAACCACAAGGTTGGTGGTTCAAGCTCACCAGCTGCTCCTAGGAAACTTAACAATACTTGTGCTGTTCAGTCGGTTCTGACCCATAATGACCCTGTATGGGGTTTTCTAGGAGCAGCTGGTGAGCTTGAACCACCAAACAAGGAGCTCTGGTAGCGTAGTGGTTACAACTCCAGCTGCTAATCGTAAGATCAGCAGTTCGAAACTACCAACTGTTCCGCGGGAGAAAGATGAGGCTTTCTGCTCCCTTAAAGTTTTACAGCCTCGGAAACCCTGTACAGGGTCAGTATGAGTTGGAACCGATTCCACGATACTTAACAACAACAACAACAACAGTGCTATAACAGTTACATGCTAGGCTACTTATGGAAAGAGTGGTAGTTCCAACCCATTCAGCGGCACTTCTAGAGAAAAACCTGGCAATCTGCTTCTGTAAAGATTATTTTTCTTCCAAAAAAATAACTTTTCTATTTGGAAGATAAATTCTGTGGGGGAGTTCTATTCTGTTACACAGGGTCACTTTGAGTAGGAATCAACTTGATGGCACCCAATAACAACATATTTTCATTATTAACCATAGGTCTTAATGTATATTTCTCACTTAGGTTTCACACTTGGAATGAAATGATCTGGGTTTGAGATTTAGCTCTGTCACTAATTAACTGTGTGATACAAACCATATAATTTAACTTTAGTCAAGCATTCATTCTTTCAACAAATAATTATTGAATAGTTTGTTTGAGCCAGGCACTGGGATATGACAGTATTAAGGACCACTGCACCATCCTCAAAATTGTTATGTTGCAGCCACTGTGTCAGTCCATCTTGTTGAGGTTCTTCCTCAATAAGGAAGGGTTTGTAGTGAGGGTTGAGTGAGTGTATAAAGCAATTAATACTGTGTCTGGTTCATTGTAAGTTTCATAAATGTTAAATATAATTACCATTAAGCTTGGTGTTCATGCCACAAACCTTTGTTGCCTTTTTTTTTTTTTTTTAAAGCAAACATTAAGCTATTTATAGAACCAGGTATAAAGCTTTTGAATATACTAACTCAAATATTTGTTTTTATTTTAATGGCTATTTTGTTTCCCTACTTCCCTAGGTATAGTAAATATAGGTGTGAATAACGTCCAGGAGTTGATTGTTGCAGCAGACATGCTGCAGTTGACTGAAGTTGTTAATCTTTGCTGTGAATTTCTGAAAGGACAAATTGATCCACTGAACTGCATTGGGATCTTTCAGTTTTCTGAGCAAATTGCCTGCCATGATCTTTTGGAATTCACAGAAAACTATATTCATGTCCATTTCTTGGAGGTTCATAGCGGGGAAGAGTTCCTGGCACTTACAAAAGATCAGCTGGTCAAAATTTTGCGAAGTGAAGAGCTTAGCATTGAAGATGAATACCAGGTCTTCTTAGCTGCAATGCAGTGGATTCTGAAAGATCTGGGAAAGAGAAGAAAACATGTGGTAGAAGTGCTAGACCCAATTCGATTCCCTTTACTACCACCTCAGAGGCTTTTAAAGTATATAGAAGGTAACATTTTTTTTTGCTATGAAATTAGTTAATGATCCAATAACTTTTTGTTTGAAATTTGAGTGTTCATTTTTTTTTAATTCTTTAAGTCATTTATTAAATAGCTATTATAGGTAAATTGTGACTTTTGTGTTTTGTTAATATTGTTAAGTGCCAACGAGTTGGTTCCAACTTATAGTGACCTGAGGAGCAGCTGGTGGGGTTGAACCACAGACCTTTCAGTTAGCTGTTAGCAGTCTAGTGTTTATTCTATACCGCCATGGAGTCCTGGTGTGGAGCTGTAGGATAGCACTGTACCACAAGGTTCGTTTAAAACTCAAGGTCAGTGGTTCAAACCTACTAACTGCTCCTCAGAAACTCTTTGTCTCTATGAATTAATTGGAACCAACTCGAGAGCACTTAACAACAATTCCATAGAATTTTTCAGTATGTCTACCCATTGTTATAATCAAGTTCTTACATAACCTTTCTTGAGATTAATACTAAGGGATATTAGTGTTGTGGATAAAATTATGGACAGAGCTAGCATACCACTGCTACTGTTTGTAATGCTAATTATTTCACTAAGAGATTTCCTTTTCCAAGCTGAAAAATTCATCAAACCCTAACATTTGAGGAAAATGCATATGCTATAAAAGCAAAACTTAATAAATCCTGTAAGTTCTCTTATTATAAAATGAATTTTATATTGATATATAGCTTCTAGTAATCTTTGAATTATCCTTATTTACTTATTTTTTTCACTGTGAATTGGGTGAAGGTTTACATAGCAAATCAGTTTTTCCATTCAACAGTTGATATATATTTTGTTCCATCTTATTGATTGCAATTCTCAACGTGAAATATTACTTATTCCACTTCCTTCTGTTTTCTATTTCCATTCCTCCTTCTTTCCTAACTATCCTGAGCATTGTCCTTGGGTAAATGCTGCCCTGTGATCTCAAATGGTTGATTGTTTTGAGTGCATACCTCCCTAGTGTTATTGTTCCCTTTATAGACCTATCTATTCTTTGGCTGAAAATTAAGCTGGGGGTGGTGGTGGGATAAGGGAGTTAGTTCAGTTCCAGACCTGAAGGAGACCAGCAGCCATAATATGGGGGCTGGGGGAGGGGTCCTCTAGTCTATCCTACCATAAGTCTGGTCATTTTTATGATTTTGAATTTTGTTCAATATTTTTTTCTTACTCTACCCAGACCTTCTAATGTAATCCCTTTCAGAGCTATTGGTAGTGGTAATCAGGCACTATGTAGTGCTGGTCTCTCAGTTGTGGATGCTCAGATTCACATGGTTAGTCCTTTGGACTAATTATTTCCATGTGTCTTCTCTTGTCTTCATTATTCTTTGTTCCAGATGGGGAGAGACCAGTGGTTGCACTTAGATGGCAGCTCATGAGCTTTCAAGACCCCAGTCACTACTCACCAAAGTAGGATATATGGCATTATCTTTGTGGACTATATTATGCCAATTGATCTTATTGTCCCCCCAAGACTATGGTTTTGAGCCCCCATGCCTAGAGACACATTTCCTTGAGGTATTTAGTTATATCGAAGAAGTTTTCATAACTTTGTCCCTGTATGCTTTACCACTTTTATGGATATATTCATAGCATAGGTAAATTGATCTACTTTAGTGTTGTTACGTGCCGTCAAGTCTCTTCCATTGCATAGAAACCCTGTATAGAGTTTCTAAAAGGAGCGCTGGTAGCGTAGTTGTTACGAATCGGACTGCAAACCTCAAGGTTAGCGGTTCGAAACTACCAGCTTTTCCACGGGAGAAAAATGAGGCTTTCTGCTCCTGTAAAGATTTATAGTCTCGGAAACCCTGTACAGGGGTCGCTATTAATCGGAACCGACTCCATGGCACATAACCACTACCACCACCATAGGGTTTCTAAGGAGCGACTGGTGGGTTTAAACTGCCAACTTTGTGGTTTACAAATGCTTGTGGGAATATCCTCTGTCAAACCTATATCAGGGGGCTTCAAAAATTACGTTCTCTTTTAATTCCATTCTTCCATGAAATTTTTGGAACACCTTTGGATACAGTCCTATTCTCCCTTCCACACTCATCAGCGTGTGTGTCTGCCCATATAGCTTTGAATAACTTTAGAGTTTAAACATTTTTTTAATGAAAATACTTTCACAGTACTATTAAAATAATTTTATCTTTATATTTTAAGAATTATATAAATTTATTTAAAAAAACAGATTTTAGACCTGATCTTAAGATATGTAGCTATAACTCTTGTCATGCACTGAGACATTATATATAAATGATCTTACTCTGATTAAATGGACTCCTGGTGTTGTGCTGTAGGATAAGTACTGGACAGCTAACCACAAGGTCAACGATTCAAACCCATCAACTGTTCCTCTGAAACCCCATATAGGGTCACTATGAGTTGCTATACATTCAACAGCACTGAACAAGAACAGCATTAGTAGTGGTGTGCTGTGGAGTTGGTTCCAACTCATAGCAATCCTACATAGGGTTTCCAAGGCTGTAAATTTTAACAGGAGCAGAAAGCCTCTTTCTCTCACAGAACAGCTGGTAGTTTCAAACTGCTGACCTTGAGGTTAGCAGCCTAGCTCATAACCACTATGCTATCAGAGCTCCTTTTATAAGCATTGCTGTTGTTGTTGTTGTTGTTAAGTGCTTTTGAGTTGGTTCCGACCCATAGCAACCCTTGATAGGGTTTCCTAGGAGTGACTGGTGAGCTTGAATTGCTGACCTTGCAGTTCAAACTGACTTTTCAATCTAGCACATTCACCCACAGTGCCACACTGGAAGCATTAGAGATGTTAATTCTATGAAAGAATCATTTTTTAAGAGTGGGTTACTTGTTTTTCTTGTACTCTTAACAGTGTCAGAATGTAATAGCTTTTTCTGTGTGATATCTTGTATTACTACATATATTTAAATGCTAAAACAAGGAGAGATAAATTATGCAGGTACCCTTTTACACAAATTATGTGGCAATTCAAGGATAGGACAGAGGCTTTCGTGGTTGAATTGACTTTTCCCAAGAGTAACAGATACAGATTGATAAAAGTCAAGCTTCTCTACTAGGAGCCAAATGTCATGTTTTGATACAGCATTTCTCGGTTATCATATTTTAATTTTGCAGTGATTATTCAGCATGCCCACTAGTTAACACATAAAGGTATTTCACTGAAATATAAACTCTAGTGAGTCAAGAAAAAAGTCATCTGAAGATTTTCAGAGGCAACGTTAATATTTTTCAACTTTCAAACTTTCTTTTTAATTGTATTGGAGAAAAGATGTACAATTTAGGTGAAAAAATGACACTGTACCACAAAACTCAGAAAAGGAAGAAAAACTTAGTTAAAATGGTTAAATGACTGTGTAAAATGTTTTGTTTTGTTCTTTGAACACACACAAACACACACTTATATGTGGGAGTGTGGTGGCTCTGTAGGATAAGCACTGCACTGTGAACTACATGGTTTCTCCAGCCACTCTGCAGGAGAAAGCTGAGGCTTTCTGCTATGCAAAGATTTACAGCCTCAGAAACTTTATATAGGGTTGCTATTAGTCAAAATCAACTCAATGGCACATAGCAACAACATGCACACACACATATATATATATGGAGCTCTGGTAGCGTAGTGGTTACGAATCGGGCTGAGAACATTAAGGTCAGCGGTTCGAAACTACCAGCCGCTCCGTGGGAGAAAGATGAGGCTTTCTATTCCCTTAAAGATTTACACCCTCGGAAACCCTGTACAGGGTCACTATGGGTCGGAACCGACTCGACGGCACTTAACAACATGTATATATATAATTTTGGATAAAATTTACATAGTAAATTTGGTTCTCATTTAACAGTTTCTATCATGGTGTAGTGCTGTGGGCTAATGCGTCAGATTGCAAAGTCATTTGAACTGCAAGGTCAGTGGTTCAAGCTCATCAGCTGCTCCTTGGAAGCAGGGCGCTATGGGTTAAAATTGACTCAACGGCATTTAACAACAACATACATATTATTCACTGGAGAAAGATGAGACTTTCTGTTTCTGCTAAGATTTTAAGCCTCAGAAACCTTATATATAAAATGTGATTTTTGATAAAATTTACATAGTACATTTGGTTCTCAGTTAACAATTTCTATACATATTATTCGCTGGAGAAAGATGAAGCTTTCTGCTCCTACTATGATTTAAAGCCTTGGAAACCCTATACAGGGTCTCTATGAGTCAGAACTGACTCAATGGCACTTAACAACAATATTATTATTATTCAAGGAACCCTAGTAGTGTAGTATAGTGGATTATGAGCTGGACTGCTAACTGCAATGTCAGCAGTTCGAATATCCCAGTCACTCATGGGAGAAAGATGTTGCTATGAGTTGAAACCAATTTGGTGGCACACAACCACCACCACTACCGTACATATTATTTAGTGACATTGGTTACACTTTCACAATGTGTCAGCATCCTCATTCTTTCTATTCTGGTTCTCTCTCCTTGAATCTAGCTTCCTTGTTTCCCATCACCTTTTCATTTTTGGTCTAGGGTAAATGTTGATTGTAAGGTCTCATTTAGGTGAGAGTTTACAGGAGCATCGAATTTACATGTGTTAGTATTTATTTTAAGACCCACTCTGGCTTAGAGATGATCACTGGGAGTAATTTGAATTCCAAGTTTATAGAATTACCTAGGGTGATAGCTTCAAGATTTCCTTTAGTCTCTACTGGTCTAATAAATTTTGCCTTTCTTAGAAATTTGAGTTTTGTTCTACATTTTCTCCAGGTCTTTGTGGAACCATCCTGGTAGTGGTAGCCAGGTTCCATCTGATTTTTATGGTCTCAAAGTAGGTGAGGCCATTGGTAGTATAGATTATTAGTCCTGTAGACTAATTTCTTCTTTTAGTCTTTGGTTTCCTACTTTCTCTTTTGCTTCAAATCTGTAGAGCCCAATAGTTGACACTTAGGTGGTCACTCACAAGTTTTTAAGGTTCTACATGCTGCTCATCAAATTAGG